CCTGCCCAGGTAGGCTGTTCTTATGAAATATGTTGTAAACGGAAATTGTTGTTGTTATATACTGTTGAGTCTGAATCAACTCCTTACTCTCCTTCCAGCGGGTTTTCAGAGGCAACTCATTGCTTGGAAGAGCAGCTTGCGGCTTTGAACCATGTTCCTTTGGGTTGACAGTACAGTTCCTTACCAACTGGCCACCAGAGCTCCAAGCTGAAATGGATAAGCCTATTTTATGTGGAAAAGTTTTTGAAACATTTCCATACCCAAAAATCATCTTGTCAGATCATACTGAGTAACACATGAAACTAATGAATTGTGCTCACAGAGTTTGAAGCTTTGGCAATTGGTGCTGAGTATAGGGAGCTCTCACCAAGCTATGCCAGGAAATTTAAAGGACAATTCATCTGGTCAGATGATTGGGAGAGATCCGTGTTGGCTCCCATTCCCAAAAAAGGTGATATTACAGAAGATGGAACCTACTGAGTAATATCATTACTATAACATGCAATTAAAATCTTATAGGAGATTATTAAAAAATTACTAGAATTTCTCAACAGAGAAAAACCAGAAGAAGCTGCGGCACTAGGACTGTCACTGCTAATATGTAGCGAGAAAGCTCTTTGGAGGCAAAGATAATAAAACTTCATCTTACATATTTTGGTCATGTTTCTAGGAGGGACTATTCGTTGGAGAGGGATATTATGCTCAGAAAGGCAGAGGGTCATTGAATGAGAAAGAAGACCTTTAACCAGATGTCACTACCACAGTGGGCCCTAGTGGGTCAGGGAGTGTGAGAATGGCACAGGATAGGACAGGATTCAGATCTGTTGTTCTTACGGTCACTATTGGCCACACTTGACACAGTGACACCTGACAACAATCCTGTGGTTTACCCTTGACTAAAACAGGTCCAGAGTTGACCCGTAACACCAGAAAACGCTAAGTCCTTTGAATAACCAAGTTCAAAAGGGAGCTCTGGTAGCTTATTGGTAAGCAGTTGCCCTGCGACCCAAAGTTATGCAGTTCAAATCCACCAGCTCCATGGGATAAAGTTGGACAACTCCTCTCATGTAATTTGTTGTTGTTGTCTTTGATTGTCATTGAATTGCACACTACTCATAGTGACCCTATGAACAAAAGACTTGAAGCCTTTCTATAACTATCTTCATTTCTCAAAGTTCATAGAGTTTGTAGAAGAGAATTGTTTAGGAAGTGGATGCCACTTCTGCTTTCCGTGTGCTTTACTGCTTATCAAAGTCTGCTAGCTGGTCAGCTATGGGTAGGTTCCAACTGGAGCACAACAACATAAGGTCAAAAGAGTTGCATTTGCCCAGGCATAAAGCTTTAAAGGTAAGAAGGGGTAGTACAGAGGATTAATGGAAATTAGAAGTACAAGAGGAAGTGTGGAACATTATTACGTTACGTATTGTGTGTACAGGCAAGTTGGAACTGACCCATAGCTGACTATGTGGCAGGTTTTCAGAGGAAGTTAACTGGACAAGAGGAGATTATTCACCCTTCTCCCGCAGAGCAGCTGGTGGCCTCAAACTGTGCCTTCAGGATTGCAGCGCAGCTTCTTACCAGTGTAGGCCACCAGAGCTTCCTGTGTTATAGATATTATAGTTAATATTGTAAAACACAATATATATGAATAATACAATGGAAAGTCAATTTGCTTTGTAAACTTTAATTAAAAGTCATAAGAAGAGAAACAACCCTAGCTGTTTTTATCTTTTATTAGAGGTTTAAGGATAAGCAGTCATTTTTTACCTTTCCAACCAGTTTCTGAACTAAATTTTTAAGTCAGGTACAAACCAAATTTTTGTATTGTTTTCTGGATTTTATTATGTTCTTGTTAGGTACATATATGCTTGCGTGTTCATTATTTCCTGGAGGTTGTTGTTAGGTGCTGTCAAGTGGAAGCAACACTATGAACAACAGATGTGAACCGTGACCTGTCCCTGTGCCATCCTCATTATCTCTGATGCACTTGAGTTCATTGCTGCAGTTACTGTGGCAATCCATCTAGTTAAAAATCTTTTTCTTTTTTGCCAATCCTCCGCTTTCCGAGCATGATGTCCTTCTCCAAGGAATAATCTCTCCTAACATACTCAAAGCAGGTGAGAGGAGGCTTTGTTATCTTTGCCTCCAAGGAGTACTCTGGCTGCACCTTCTCCAAGACATATATCTGTTTGTACTTTTGATAGTACTCTTCTCTAATACCACAGCTCAAAGGCATCAGTTCTTCTTCTGTCATCTTTATTCATTGTCCAGCTCCTAGATTCATATCAAGTGATAGAAAAGACCATGGCCTGAATAAGGCACACCTTAGTACTCAAACATAATCCTCAGTAATTTTGGAGAGGTCCAAGACTGCCCAAGACTTCAGACTTTTCCAGGACAGTACATCTGATCTGACTGCTGGTACCAAGGGTGTTGATTATGTATCCAAGATGAACTTTTTGACAGTTTCAATCTTTTTTTCACCTATCATGATAATTGCCTTTTGGTCCAGTGATGAGAGTTTTGGGTTCTGGGTGTTGTGATACAATCCACATAGAAGGTTGCAGCAAGCACTTCAAGTCACTTTCAGCAAGCAAGGTTGTGTAATTCAGGTTATTGATGTGTCTTCTTCTAATCCTCATGCCACTTTCTTTATAGAGTACTGCTTTTTGAATAATGTGTTCAGCAAACACTGAACAGCAATGGAGAGAGCATACAATCCTAATATAGACCTTTGTTAACTTTAAATCATGTGGTGGTCCCTTTGCTCTTTTTGCAGGCTAGCCTTTTTATCTAGGTATAGGTTTCTGTGAGCACAATTAAGTGTTTTGGTATCTCCATGCTTCTTAATGTTAGCTATAATTTCTTATGATTCACGCAGCCAAATGTCAATAAAGCACAATATATACTCTTCTGGTATTCTCTCCTTTCAACCAAAATCCATCTTACATTGTTACCGATATTCCTGGTGCCATGGCCTCT